CACCTGGCCTGAAGAAGGCCGGGGGCCCACGGGCGGGGGGCAAGAAAGGTGGCCCTGGGGCGCCGCCTTGCAGGGCCAGCTCGGGGAGGCCTCCGGGCCGGCCTCCGAGACTCCGGCCGGGCACCGAGTTCCCCCCCTCGAAGTCCTTTCCGTGCCAGGGAGCACAAGCGAGGGGGCCTTGGCGAGCTGAAGGGGACGCAGGCCGCGGCGCTGAGCCCCCCGGAGCAGGAGACTTCGCCGGGGCAGCAGCAGCAGGCCGCGGCGCACCTGCTGGGCCCTCCCCACCACCCGGGGCTCCCGCCCGATGCCCACCTGAAGCCCGAGCACCACTACGCCTTCAACCACCCCTTCTCCATCAACAACCTCATGTCCTCGGAGCAGCAGCACCATCACAGCCACCACCACCACCAGCCCCACAAAATGGACCTCAAGGCCTATGAACAGGTGATGCACTACCCGGGCTATGGTTCCCCCATGCCCGGAAGCCTGGCCATGGGCCCAATCACGAACAAAGCGGGCCTGGAAGCCTCGCCCCTGGCCGCGGACACCTCCTACTACCAGGGGGTGTACTCCCGGCCCATTATGAACTCCTCTTAAGAGTGCTGTGGCCCGGCTAGCCCAGACAAGAGAGAGGAAGTGGGGGGGGGGGACTTTGAGGTAGGGGTGTTGGAGAGATGCAAGGGAGAAGACATCCAAGACACTCCCACCCCCAGAACAGCAGTCTCCCCTCACCTTCTGCAGCTCTTCCCTCCCAGATGGGCCACACCGATATGTATCATTCATTCTATATAAGGAGGGAAAGGGGACAAAAAGATAAAGTCAAAAAAGACAGAACGAAAAAAGCCCCCTGGTTTCCACTACTATGTAGATGCCTGCTTCTGGAAGCATCCTAGAATTCTGACTTTTGTTATCACTCTCCTCCATTGCTGCTGTTGCAGGGAAGTCTTACTTTATTTAAAAAACAAACAAACCCACACAAAAAACCCTCTATAAAAAAAACAAAACAAAAAAATCCCACAAACTTTTTGTGACTCAGTGTAAAACAACGTAGTTTTAACAAAGAACCAGAGAGTTGTGCTATTGTTTAAAAAAGAGATAAAAAAAATGATGTAAGGGTCTGTTGTTAATGACCAAGGGGGGGGGAAATGCATTTCTGTTCTTGAAACAGTGAAATCCAGGTCTCGGGTCTGATTAATTTATGCTTTCTGAGTGCTTTATTTATGGCTTATAAATATGTGTTCTGGCTGCAAGGACCAGAGTCTCACAAATCTATATTAAAGTGTTATTGCCGGTTTTATTCCTTGAATCATCAAGATTTTTTTTTCTTTGCCTGGCTTAACAAATAATCAGGTCTGGAAATTATTTCAAAGTGGAGGGAGGGAGATCCTGGCTGATTGCAGATTTTATTTTATTGGAGGAGGGGTTGTTGCTTTACCAACATTTTATTATAATTTTCAGACATGCTGAATTTGAATGGATTTTACAGAAAGTACACATGTACCCATTGCCCAGATTTTACAATTATTTCACGGTTCTTGTTATATTGCATATCTGTCCACCTATCTAAATGCCATTGGTCAATTTGGCTTATATTTTAAGGGCATTTCAAAGTAAATTTCAGACATTAGTGCATTTCCCCCTAAACACGTCAACAAGCACACCATTAAATAGAACACAATATTGTTTATGGTCACTTTTGGAGTTTTTAGTTTATCTTTACACACCATGAAACACAGATCCCAGGTCAACCTTTCCATGGGTTGGATGCAGGTTTATCTTTCAAGCCCGGAGCAACCTACATGTCTTGATTTTTCCACCTGAGCCACGTGAAGGTTCAATGTTGCTGACATCCCTTGGGCTCTAGCGCAGGCTTCTCTGGGAAGAAGCCTGGATTTGACATGTTTTGCTGTATTTCCTATATTAGCTCCCTCGACCCTTTAAGTAAGTGAGCCCAGGTTGAATTTGCAAATTCCTGGTGCAGTACTTGCCCTTTCCATTGTTCATCTCTGTGGCATCGGAACTTTACCTTCCAGTGGAATCAGAACTCTGTCTGCATTCCACCACCCTACCCCAGCCTCCTCCTTCACTTAGGTGTTCTGCACAAGTTTGGTAGACCTAGCTGAAGCCCAGGACTAGTGAGGGGTCTGGAGACACAGACGACTTTCTCCTGGAATTGGTTATGAAGGGAATGCTCAGTGTGATGTTCCAAACCTCCTTTTAAAAATAAGGTATATTTGGTCCTGGCTCAGTTGGTTGGAGCATCCAGGACATCCAAAAGGTTGCAGGTTCCATTCCCAATCAGGGCACATACCTAGGTTGCGGATTCAATCACTAGTCAGGGTGTGAATAGAAAGTAACTGATGGATGTTTCTCTTTCACACTGATGTTTCTCTCCTCCTCTCTAAAATCAATAAAAACATAACCTGGGTGCGGGTTTTAAAAAAATAAAATCAGGTATATTTAGAGTGAGGCGGGGATAAGGGGGTGTCTTGCGGGGCTTGCCAAGTGACAGTGGCCAGTGGAGACATCCGAGTCTACAGGGCCTTCCTCCCAAGACCCCAGCACAGCATACAGTTAGCGGGGTTTGGCAAGCCAAGATTTCCCGGGGAGGGGCTGAGGGTTTTTTGTGAGCCTAAAAGGAAAAATCCAAACTTATAAAGAAATATCCAGAATAAATTCTTACAATCCTGCTATCTCTCCCTACAGACACCCTAAATCAGTGGCCAATCACAGTGGGTATCCTGGAGGTGAAGCACAAAGCCGCCCCCACCCCCACTTGGCTTTGCCCAGGGCATCTACTGGCCTGCAAGCTGGCCCGGGGAGGTCAGGAGCCAGTGTCTTTGAGGGCCCCTCAGACTGGGGGCCAGCCGGAGCACAGCTTAGCCAGCTGTGGGTAAGAAACGCAGGTTTCCAAGTCCAGGACTCTTTCTTCGGGTTTCTAAAGCCCTAGATCCTTTTTCCGGGACTAATCTTAGGGCTTCCTGACCAGCCAAACCTGGAGTGTCCCAGCTTCGTCCCAACCTTAAGACTGCCTCTCCTTGCACCCTCTGCCACCTAGAGAGGTCTCTGTCACCTCCAACCCTGGCCTTCCCACGCGCTGAGGGGGTTTGCCCTGCCTCCTCCACCCTCTCCCGCCTCTAAATCCTAGTTTTTAACGTGCCTCATTGTCCCGAGCAGCACAGGGAAGAGCAACTGGGGCGGGGTAGCAGTGGTATCCGGAGGCAGAATCCAGTTATCAGGGCTGTCTCTCCCCCTGCCCAGGACACACACGTCGCGAGCCCGGCCTGAAATGTGTTTCATTATCACATAAAAGGCTCCTGTGGCGAAGGAGCGGAGAGGCCGAGCGGGAGGCCGAGTGGGGGACAATGGAGGCTGAAAGCGCTGCCCTAACCTGCTATGTTTCGTATCGCACGCCCATTGTGCGAGGGTCGTTTTAAACTACTTAGAGCGCACCCTCCCTCCCCCCCACCCCTCCACTGATCCCGGCTGATGAGATAGAGTTCTGTCCGAATACATAAAAAGGACGTCGGGGAGTGGGCGCTTTCGGGGGTTTCAGCGCTTCTCCTTCCTTTCACACCCCACCCTCCGGCCACCACCTCCTTCCCCCAGGCCAGGTTCCCAGCTCCCTAGCTCACGGCTCTCGCCCTCCGCCTGCCTTCCCCCAACTCTAAATATTGCAGGGTGCAGCGATTCTTTTTTCCTCCCCCCTCCTCTCTTTTTTCCTTCCTCCCCCGCCGCCCGCCGGTACGGAACGGGCAGGTTTAAGCAACCGTGATCTGTGAATAAACACAGTCAGTAAACAACCGAAAAAAACATTCTAGATCCGAATTCCAGGAGGGTAAACTTCCCATGCCACGTCAGACTTCAGCAAATTTGCACAGATATTATATTGCCTCCCCCCGCCTTTATTATTCTTTTTTTTTTCCAGGATCCCATTGTACTTAACTGAATTTTATAACGCTGATCGATATCTTGGTAAAATATTCATTTTTAAACTAGCGGGCAGTGAAATCTTTGCTTTGTGTGCTAAAGTCAACAGTCGCTGGGTTTGAGCTCAAATAAATGCGGGGATGCCTGGGCTGGGAGCAGTCGGCCGCTACCCTCCGCGCGCCGGACGCCCCGCCGCCCGCCGCCCGCAGCCCGAGCTCCGCAGGTAGGCAGCGCGCCCAGCCGGGGGCCGCGCCCCGGGGTCCTCCGCGCGTCCGACCCCCACCCCCACTCCTAGCGGCGTGCCTCCCCTCCCCCGATAGTACTTATCCCTTCCGAGACCTCCGATCCCAGGGAGGGGGGTGAGGATTGGAAGGGGAGGTAGTGAGAAGCTAAATCCGTGAAGACCCAGGAGTTTGTAAGGTGGCCTTGGGGGGGGGGGGTTGTTTTTTCGGGGGTTTTCTAAGAATGCACGGTGTGGGCGGATGAGCAGTGGAAGAGTTACAAACTCGGACTACATCTAGGCTCTGCGCTCAGCTCCGTGTGGCCCCGTGCTCTGGGGAGCCAAGGCCTGTCCCTGGCCGCCCCGCGGGTCTGTTTCCCAAGGACGGTGGGAAGGTGAGGGTGGGGTGGCACCTGGGCCTCAGAGTCAGGGCTGGGGGTCAGCGGAAAAGGGCGCCCTGGGAATGGGGTGGTTGCAGAGGCAGAGGCTGGAGAGTAGCGGACTCTCCCCCAGCGCGCGAGAGTTCGAGTCCAGCCTGGGCGTTGCCCCAGAAGCCCCGGGGCCTAGGCTGGGGCTGGGGCCGAAACCCAGCGCAAGGAGGGGAGGGGCGACACCTCTGCGAGCAGCGAGCAGCGGGAGGACTTTTTGTTCTGACGACCAGAAGCCGCCCGTGGCCTTTACGCACAGGCGCGCGCCTGGGAACCTCGGGTGTTGGGAGTCCGGTCCAGGAGGAAAAGGCAGAAACCCGCGGCGGGGCCATTTACCGCCCCGCTGTCCCCCCACAGGGCTTGGCAGGGGCGCGCTGCGGCGCCTAGGGACGCGAGTTTTAAGGATCAAACAGCATTGAACGCACCTTGATAGGAAGGCGCAGGCTCAGGAAACTAGAGGTTCGTCCAAATACTGCCAGTTGAAACCTCAGGACCCTCCGTTTCCAGGGAACGGAAAAAGGTGTCCTGCCTCTGGGGTCTCACCATGTACCCCCCCCCCCCACCCGAGGATTACTTTAAAAGCGATGTACCCGGCCTTGTAAGAGGCCCAGGCCGGCTCGGGCACTCTGGATACTTCGCCAGCGAGACGCGCTAGGTACCCGGCCCACAGACATCGCCCGCCTCCCCAACTGGGAAGCTCTCCTGGTCTGTGCCAGCGTCCCCAGATCGGGAGCGCAAATGGGCAGAAACCGATCCCGGCCATGGCCAGTGCCAGTTATGTGGGCCCTGTCTTGTGTGGGAACCTTGGGCGCCCCCCTCCTTCCCTTTGTCCAGCGGAGTTGCTCGCCCGCTGCCCTCCGAATGCGGGCCGGCTCGCGTGGCTGGTTCTCTCCGCTGAACAGCAGGGGAAGTCTGCAGGACACAGGGCCAGGCTAATCGTTTTTAAATAATTAATGCCTCCCCGTTCCGCTGGTAATGCGCGGCCTCGAATTCGTCAATTACTTGTCATTAGACGTGTG